CTCCCGGTTCATTTTCTTCAGCTTCATTCTGCGATTTTGAAACCAGATCTTGACTTGTCTGTCGGTCAGATTCACGCTCTTACTTATCTCTAGACGGCGCTCACGAGTCAGATACATATTAAATAAAAACTCTTTCTCTAATTCCAGTGTCTGATATTTTGTATAAGGACATCTCTTCTTCCTTCCACTCTTTGCTGTTAGCCAGTTGCTTATTGGAGTTTTGATCTCTTCTAGCAGAAGGAATAAATAAGAAATAATATTTCAGCGAACGTGTCTCCAACACATTAATTCAAACAAAACCCAGCCAGGACGATTAAGCGGAATACTGATACCTTAAGTTATACACAGTGCAGCAAACCTCTACACGTTCTTCACTTGTTGTCAAATAGTAAAAACAAATATACATATTAATAATATAAGTCGGTTCAATTTAAAGATCAAATTTCTTACTAATTCAAGGAAAATTTTAAAAACTGCGTTGGATATTGACAAACAGTATTATATCTCAGGTTTTGTGGCAGGCTTCTTTGTGAATTGTTAACTAAATGCCAGAACATTAAAGATACACGGACAACAGACAATTCGTCAGATATGGATGTATGATTAGTAGGCAATACCATTACTAGTGAATGAAACGTATAGTTGTAGGTTAGTTGCACCGATAGGATTTTTGCCAATAAGTCGTTTTTCAACTTCATAGCGCAAATTTAATGATTGCAAAATCTTAACAGTACAAACCTATGTGGCCATGACAATAATTCCTGAGGTAAATCTTAGGCTATTAAACATACTATCGTTTCCACTTATCGAGCATGTTAATTGGAATTTATGATTGTGTGTGCTAGCAATATTTCAAGTTCTAAGTATGGAACTTCTAATACTGCTCATTGCAATATGTTACATATCCAACATTAACTATGGCAGGGAAAACGACTGTTTTAACTGCGACTAGCAATTTCCGTCGAATATTCCTAAGTCAGCAAATGGTGCAAGTAGCTTACTTTTCACAATAGAACGAGTAAGACTGAGCTGGCGCTGTGCCCCTAAATATAGAAATAGGTGTTCTTAATATTTGTAGTTTATGGTCGTAAAAGTTTCGGGTTGTATCTTAGGAGTGGATTAGGAGACACATGGCAACTCTAAAATGAAATTATCAATGTTAGACTGACATCTGTAAATGATTTGTTGGTCTTTACTACGTCATTAACAATGTAATGGTATTACGGAGTACATTTTTCAACAAGTAATAAAATAAAATTATCCTTTTCTGCGACATTTAGCAGACTTTGTTTCTCGTTTGCAAATATTGGTGATCAGAAATACACATAAACCAGTCAAATATACTGTCCTGATATAGTTATGTATTGCAGTGACAATGTAAGTTTTTCTATCGGATGTACGATGTTGCCACGTTCAGATTCAATATTTTAAAGGCTCACCTTTAGCCTCGTTATCCGATAGTTCCGAGCTAGATTCGGCTTCCTCAGCGGGTGCACTGGCCTCCACTAAACTCGGCTTTCGTTCAGGAGTTTCCACATAAATTCCCTTATTGGATTCCTGTGCGTTTGGCTTGTCGTTTATTTTCCCTTCCATTAGTGACTGGTTGGATACCTGGAGTTTACTGATAAGCCCTAGGTTTGACTGCGGCATTACATTTGACCGGATCTCCCCAGCTTGATTATAATCTAGGCTTTTCTCCAATGGATAAGCCTGACAGAGTCTGAAATATCCCGGGATGGGGATCTCAGGATTTTCAATCGAACAGTTTTCGGACACCAATCTAGGATAGGTAGGGATTGCGGTCGGGTTGAGTTTTGCTCGTTTATCTGAATTATACATGCAGCAAGTGCTTTCCTCCTTTATGCTAGCAGGGAAGGAGCACGTGGGCATCTGTGGACTAACAGGTTGTTCAATTCGGCATGGCCTGGAAGGGTCAGGCCAGCCATCTACCTGAGATATATACGGATGAACGCTGATGCTCATATTTTGATGGCTAACCTCTCCTCGTTTAGTCATGGTCGGGAGCAGTCCACAGGTCTGCATTCCGTAAGTTCCCATATCCGTGCTCGATGGCATGTACATAGAACTACTTGAATAGAAACCGTCACCCCGACAAGCACTAATCAGGGAATCTACTAAAAACGAGTTCGTAGCGGGAGAGTTGTTGGGGCAGGACATTTTGGAGAGTAATTTGAAGGAGGCAGATGATGTCCTTTGTAAGCTGACATCTCTAACAAAACATTCCCCGTGTAATTGTGGATGCCTCTGTAGAACCACATGACTACTGGGCCAATGGAATTTGAAAATGGCCTTGAAGCACTAACCCCCCGTACATCACATGATCCACAATTGTTTGAATTTGAGCTTAACTGTGGACAACAGCGACACCTACAACAGCATTTCAAAAGCGGCGCCCACTGCAGCTCATTTAATTCCCACACCGACCAGCACTCAAACGTCTCATCAAAGACATTCCTCATTCAATGTTATCCAAAACAGCAGTGATGATCATTCCGCTAAAATCCAATAATTTTGTTATTGATGAACAAAAAAAAACTGAAGAAGAAAAAAATCGCTGTAATTTCTGGCCTTTGGAAATTAAAATATAGTTTTTAGTAGAAAATATCAGCGAAATGAAACGTGTACTGAGCAGGTTTATGATCTGATTGCCTTTATAGTTTCAGCGACGCTGGCGCTGCATCAATTGCACGCACAGTACATAACACGGCTATTAGATGTATAACCTGTCAGACAGTCCACCTGGCTCTGACATGAACCAAACATTTGGTGAAATCAATGTAAGAAATTATTCTTTTTGCATTTTTATCTGCATTCACTGGTCCAATGTTTTCCCTTGTACAGTATTTAGCAGCAAACATAAGAAATAGTTCAATGTATAATAAAGCTAATGTTAGTTTGGAAAATTGACCGTGGCTGTGAGAGTCTACATTTGAATTTCCATAGAATACCTTACGCCCTGTACTTTCCATTAAGATAGCTAGCATACAGGCTTTCAGATGTTGACACCAAACACTTCTATAATGTAATTGCATTTGAATATTTGCACAGACACCTTCCAACACCGTGGCTGAGCAAAAGGCGATTTGCGATTCTTGCCATTAATTTGGAGGAGTTAATTTAGTCAGTGTTTTGGCGTTTAGATTCAACTAGCTTATCCTAAAAGAAAACTTAAGTTTCAAATTCTCTCGCATGTTTCTTTTGAGCTGTTGATAACTGGACTGGACATGTTCCCACAGTCGGTAATCAAAACATCGCCAAAAGCAACTGAAAGGCACGCACCATATTTGCTCCGCAGCGCCAGCAGTGATGCAGCTTGTTGTTTTCGGGATTCACTCCTTTGATGGAGTTGCAGAGCTGTGTTAACACAACTTGCAGCTATTTTTTCCGAACTTACCAACTGGAGAAAATTTGCTGTTTAACAGCACATGCCTACTTCCGGTCACTGGGAGAATCCTTTGGAGTTCAAGAAAAAAACAAACCACGATGGACATCAGCTATGGAGCAGCTATGTGAATTCCACACAAGGCCGATGAGATTTTCTTCTCAACAAGACGAACAGGAAAGGGGACAGTGTCAGGGTCAAGGCTGTCACGGTTCCTCTCTTTATTTCTTTTGCGATATAAATACAATGTTGAGAATGTTATCGGTTTTGCGAACGTTGGTCTAAATCAAACTTCAAAAATTCTACCGATATTCAAAATGAACAAAATATTAGAAGACGTATAAATACTTGAGGGGCTTGTAAGTCACATTGAAGAGTATATATACCATTTCCATACATCATTTGAGGCTGTTTATTTATCCAACATTAGTTTTGATTTGATCGATTTTGTAATCCAAATCAGTACGGTTAACATTCTGGCGCCTGTGCATGTAAGTTTTAGGTTCGGTTGAAGCGAACACCGATTATAAGCCATAACTTCGTATACTATGCCTAGATGTTTTGTCGCACATACAAAACATTGAGACCACAAATAGTTCTAGGCATACATAATTACCTGGATCATATTCATCCCAAATAGATCACAATCCGGTTGTTAACACCTAAACTTGTGTGAGCAAAAGTTAGCCAAGTTGGCTTTGAATGTTCTTCAACTGTATTTTTTCCGTGTGAAATCATTCAGCAGAACTGTAAGAATGACCTGAGAGACTAGCGATACGACATGGTCGGCAATGCATCCATTTGGAACGATGATACGTCAATGAGAATGCTTATATTAGTTTATTCAGCGTTTGAATTAAAAATGGGGGATGGTATAGTTTGAAGTAAATCTAACCCTTCAGGCAAGGCCAGGAGTAGTAGTATGAAGGAAAACCATTTGTTGTTTTGGGCCTTTTGGAATCATTTTGTAACATGAGTGAACATATGTAAACTGAAAAAAATACAGACTGGAACACTTTTGGCATTATTTAGATCCTCGTTAAATATCATTAACGGAAAAGCATAACGCCTGGTCAGTGCAAACGTGAATGCAGTTTACCTCTTAGTAAAATAACAATTGACTGCTATTGTTTTATTATTTGTAACGGGTACTAGTCATTAAAGATGTGTAGCATGACTATATCTGGAGTAATATGATGCTTCAACAACTGCTGTGAGCAATAGGCTAAGCTCGATGATTTGTTTATATATACAAGGAATTTTTGAACGAGAGCCAACAGTGTGCATTTATTACAAAACACCACCTCATAATATAAGTAAGACTCAAATTCATGGCGAACAAAGTCAAACCAATTGTGGTTTTGTAAGCGATGAAAAGCAAAATGTCTAGGGGTAGTGAATTTGGAAGTAAGAAAGACAAGACCCGACGCAGACAACAGATACTTCTTGCAGCCTTGAACGAGAGAATTCTCGGAGCCTTGAGGCCTGCACAGTACAGAACTGGTATTTATATCCAAATTATTATCTCAAAACAATATAACATCCAAGAGATAGCGTTATATTTGAATGGGCAACGTACAGCTCAAAGTGTTTTCACCAGTAAATCTCTTTTTTCATTTATTACAGTATCTTCAGCTCAGTATCAGTGACTCGTGCAGACCATTTATTCGTACCTTACAATTGCCGTCACATTAAGTCGGCTATGTTGAAGGCAATATTAGTTAGTAATATTACTTCGGGAGTCTTTGCCGCAATACATTTGTATTTTTTAGTCCATTTATCAAATATGTAGGAAAATTGCTAAATTTGCAAAGCCACTTTAATATTTTCGTCTACATTTACACTATTATTTATTCAGGACAGTCTGTTGTTGGTTGCATCAATATGCTTATATAAAGCAAAACCAATTATTGCTGGTTATCATGAAACAAGCCTTGCTGTTACTCTACGGCAATTGCCTGGATTGCGTGTTGAGTAAACAAAATAATTTAATTGTATCAAACGGTCCTCTATGATATAGCATAATTGTTCATTTCATTGTACTCAAATAAAACCTGTATCATAAGACCCCTAGTATGACAAAAAAAACCTCATAAAATATTACGACTGCAGACACACAGGAATTAAAGGCTATGAAATCTTTGAACTATAAAGTTTCCTGGTATGCAGGGGAAAGGATTACAATATCAAATACAGTTATCATGAGAGTACACTCAACTCATGCGGAGCCGGGTTTTAATGTAGGAAAGGTTATATTGATAGCAACTAAAAAGTGAATTGACTGATTAGTCTCAGAACGATACTTCAATGTTTAATAACGTAGTTATAAGCTGTTTATGGGAGAAATGTTGCACACAATTCTCCCTAAATTAGGTCTAATGATGGAGCTTAATTAAAACCTCGTAATGCATTAAAGCGCCAATGTGGGATGTGATTTGCTGGAAGGATTGTATACAGGGCAAGCTTTTGAATGTTAGTTTTAACCAGGAACATGAAGGCTGCATTATTGTATTTGCACCGATTGCAACATTACACAAAGCAATGGTTCCCTTCTCTACAGACACATGTCAACAACAACTTTATTGTCAAAATAATGGAAAGAGCAATTAAGTTCGAAAACAATTGTTGTCTAATTTTAAAATCTTTGTAATGTAAGTGTTTCGATGGAACGATTTGTTTCTTTGTTTTTCTTGTAGTGTTAACCAAGCTGCTGGCCCTGTGCTTTGATGGAGGCTCACATTTCTCCTTTCAGACTTCCCTCTAGCATAAACTGGAATGGTCTTCTGACCATGAAACCGCCAGCCAATTGTACCTTCACTTTCACCTTGAATCTTTTGATTGTTTTGCCACACTCAGAACTCAAATTGAAAGGTTATTAACTTGAAGCGCCTGTTATTAGTTTCAGCCTGAGCTTTTGTTTATGGTTTATCAGATAAATGCAGTAAAGATTGAAATAAACTATACCCTTTAGCCGAAATATTCCATAAACATTCGGCTAAAATACGCGCAGAAGCTTCCGTCGTCCTACATTGGTTTGTCACCACAATTGTGTAAAGAAAATTTCGCATGTTACTGTCATGTTACCTGTAGATACTTCGGAAATATTTTGGCTTCCTGGGCGCTTTCAGTTAAATTGTGAGTGAAAGCTAAATTGTATTGAATACGATTGCCGCGTAAATTACGTCCGACTACAAATTGCGACCTACTAGCAACTGAGTGCCACATATTAAAATCAATTCACTCCTTGTCACATTAAATAAGCTGTTGCGTATGTGCTATCAGTAACGACCATGTGGATCAAGAAACATTTGAACGTCTTGGAATAGTAGTATGCTTATGCTTTAAATCCAGTGCGTTTGTGTATTCAGTCAACAGTTTATCTGAATAACATTAACGTAATGTCACCATCTTGTAAAATAACTGGACAGGAAAATATTTTCCTTTCAAAACACTTTTTAATCATTAAAAGTACATTAATTATATAAGTGCAAAACAAATTTTCCTCATACAATTTGGATAAAATACACGGAACTAACGAGAATATAGTGGCCAATCGATAATAGGCCTGCCTTTCCACAATCAGGCAATTACCTCTTCTTCTGAAACCTCCTTTTGGGCAAATAGGAAATTTAAAGCAAAATAACCTATTGAATATGCAAGCATTGATGTTGTTGGAACGGGAATTAGTGACTATCATGAGTACTGCGATCGATCACTTCTTACGATTTTGAAAGACGTGTATATACGTTCAGTCTGTTTTACAAGACTTTGCGGATTATTATCTGTCGTACAGTAGAATATTGCAAAATACTAAAGCAGTTTATCATGAAAGAGGAATGAATATTCTGTTGATTGTGGATTGTGAATGTGAAACAAACGGAGAGTATACACTGCCATTAGATTGGGAAATTATGCCGTGTTTTTGATTCCACTTAAATGGCTTATAGAAAATTGCCGCCAGATATTTCTTGTTACCAACACTGAGAAAATGCTGTCAATATCGGTTTTGTCCTTGCAGTAAACACTCCTTAAACGCTCAATTTTTCACTTTTACAAAAGAGGTTAGCAATTTAACAGACAGCAAACATGTTAACAACGTTCCTTTGATATTTTGAGAATAACGAATTCAATGGTTAAACATAAGTCATCACCGAGGTGAAATGTATAGCCTGAAATGTTACTTGACTATCCAACATTATTCATTTCAAAACCGTACTAAAATATCTGGATTATGCAGACGTTACAAGGAGAAATGTAGTATTGAGAAAGAGCTGATTCAAATAGTGTGCTGCCATTTAAACCGAACACATCACCAGGAAGTAAACGTAAGCATTTAGTATTTTGCGAAATATTGGCTGTTTGACTTTTTTAAATGGCTTCGCCTAATTTCCCAATCTAATGGTATCGTATCCTGTCCGTTATTTTTTTTTCTGCATTCACAATGATAGTTGTTTTATTTTAGAGAATAATACATCAGCTCGGATTTGTTCCTTATGTTGCATGTTCCCGTTTTTCTTCGGCGCCATTACTTTGTAACTTCGTGCATTCTAATCTCAACAAAATCCGATCAACAAGCTTCAGCGAATACACCGAGTGAAAACTAATAAATCTTTCCAAATAATGTAATTGGCAAATTAGTTTTATTTTTTTCCGGACTCATTATGATGAAAAAAGTTAGGCCTTAATCTTTGAAGCCAACAGTAAAATAATCAAACTTACGACTGCAGTGAATTGACTTACATTTAATTCCATACTTCGACAAGATGTTCCAGATATATGACAAAAGCAAGGAGAACTTAATTACTTGGAATACTGACATTATTTCAGATAATTTCCTATTCATCCCGAAAGCTGTTTTCAAGGTATTGGTGGTCTGGGCTGAACCGTAGCGTTACAGCGCGCCGCCGTGTGGCCATTTGCAGAAATAACCACGCTGGCAATCATTGTAAACTACTAGCCTTGCTGTTTTGACATCCTTTTTTCAAAACAGCCTAATTAAATTATATATGTTATGGCAATTAAGTAAGATATTCAGACTGTAAAATCATGGTTAGATCAGTATGGTGCGTTATATAGACACAGAGAAAGTAGAAAGGCCGTGCTTGCTTCGGAAATTCTATTGAAACGTAAATTATATTTTCCCACATTTCCATGGAAACCAAAACATTCGTGGCCGATTGGTATAGTGTATGGACGTATGATGAAGATTTTTGACCAGTTCAGCTTGCATGAGAATATGGAAAGATGCTGCTCCCAACGGCTAAGCATAGGAGAACAAAGGAACCTTCGTATTTAATAACGTTGCACAAAAGACCTAAGTGTGTATTATTGAATGCAACTTTTCGCAAACTCAACTGCTCATCTAGATAAGGAAAGCTGATTTTTCATATTGGTCCTTCTGTAGGCTTCAGCATGCGCACTTTGGTAACACATTGTAGTAATGTTGAAGTAACATGTTGAAGCTTTTGTCTCTAGGAGGGAAGCTGTAAGAACAACCCAACAGCCACCAGGCGCCTCTGTCTTCCAAAAGGTTAAAGGTGACGACCTTGACATTATAGAAGTTCAAAGGCAACATTGTACGAATTCTCTGTTCGAAACATACTTTAGCATACTCACGAGCAGATGTTACTTTTTTCGGTTTCATTTGAATCTGCATTAAGTCCAACCAATATGTTTGACGCAACTTATCTGAGATCCGTTTCTTGAAAAAAAACTTTTTTTTCAAATGGTGGACGTTATAAATGTAATTGTTTTTATATTTTCCTTCGTTTTAAAATCTATTTTCATCGATTTCTTTCTGTTCTTTTGTTTGCTATATAGTGCAGGACCTTTCCTTAGTGAGTAGAAGGTGTAATAAGTCGCCATTAAGCTGGTAAGAGCGGTCAACTTTACGATGTTGTCTAGACAGTTCAAGGTTTTGTAAACAGCAATGCTATGTCATGCGGCACGAAAACTTGGCAATTCGTTTTCGAAATAAAATGGAAACATTTTGAGAAGTCTCGCTCACTTCTTTGTCACTGAGACACTGAAGTTAGTTTCAAGTTATCGTATGCTGTTTATAAATTTAAATGCACCTCAAATTCAGATTTCAGATTCTTTTAAAAAATACGCTGCAATTGACTTTTTGTACAAGAAAATGAAACTTGTCAATTCAGTTCCAGACCAAAACACCCCTAATCTAACTATGGATACAAAAATTGTAATTAATTATCATACTTACAGGCAAAACACTAAGTAAAAGTTCTGCTTTCCATTTTAAACAAAAACATTCGCCGAAAAGCGCAATGTTTAAGCTGGGCATTAAATTGCAAAATAAACACCTAAAAATGCTGGAAAGACCCAGCATTTCAGGCACCATCTGGTATATTTCAGATTTCCAACATCCGCATTACTTTGGCTTTTGCGCAATAAGTTGCAAAGTGTGCACTGCATTTCAGAGATAAATAATATTTGCTTCTTCTGGGACAATTTGAGTTCCTAAGTTAAGATCGTTTAGTACAGTCTGGCCACTTATTCATTAAAAAAAACTTTATTGATAAGTTTTTAAAATAAGGTTTTTATTGACTTGAGACAAAAAGACATTTTAACACATGCATTTACCATGAAATGTCAATTAGTTTGCAAGCTGAAAACAAAATTATTATCATTACAACAGCGTTAGACATCTCTAGCTACAGTATTGCTTAATTACTTAATGAAATACAACGGAATAAGTAAAATAATAAATAGGAATATATTTTGAATGAGGATAAACACAGCTTGAACAAGTATGGTTAGTCTGGCTGCACAATGACTATAACAGAAATAAAAAAATACTATATTATCTGATTGACCTATCGCTTTGAACGAAAGATTGCTCCATTTCAGCCCTTTATTACTCCTGTTTATTGTTCAAAATAAACGCTTTTATTCAACCTGATTATTCCGCAGCATCGAAATTCTTCCGTTGGAACTGAATAACAGAAATGCTGAGGTAAAAATGTTCTCTGATAAACATTACGGTCATGGTTCCCGCACAACCGTGGCACCTTAGATCCGATTTTACATCGATCGTAGCAAGGACAGTTCTCTCTCCGCAAAACTATCCTGTCATCCTTGCAGTCACTCCTTCTGTAAATAAATATTGACTAAGGCAAAGGGGAATTGCTGGAAGATCATCCACAGCGTAAAATGTATCACAGTCACAATAAAGGATTGGCAGTAAAAAAGTGCAGCCGGTCTCTGCTGAGTTTCTTTTCTTTCATTCTTCGATTCTGGAACCAGATTTTGACTTGTCGATCGGTGAGATTTAACATTCTCGACAACTGCAAGCGTTTTTCTTTGTTTATGTAAACGTTGAAGAAAAATTCTCGTTCAAGTTCCCGGATTTGATATTTGGTATAAGGGCATCTCTTCTTTCTGCATCGCAGGGGTCCTGATGGAAGTAGTTTTTAAAAATAACGTTACAAACGACCATACCCAACAAATTTGCTCTTAAACTCCTTGTACTTAAATTCGACACCAAGCTATCTATTACGTCCTGATTTCAATATGTATTGTTTGATAAAGTTTTGTTTTGGAAACGAATACACTTAATTACATTTTCTCTTCCTGAAATTTGAATTGAAAGCGGCAATAGCAGGAGACACATAATTACAATACACCTTGTTAGCATGACAGAAATGTACTTGCAATCAATAGAAACAGGAAAGAAATCCTTTGGTCAAATCGCAATGATATTACCGAAATCGTTCTATAATGGTAAAATGGCCTATTAGTGATTTTTCATATTCACGAAGCCCACCTAAACCGATTTCCCGTCGTAAACAATCTTTACAACTTTAAAGCAGATCTTATAGGGTATATAAAAGCCTTCGTCTGCTTATAAAATTTCACATAAAATCTGTGAAACAAAATGTGTTGGCCTTGTATTCTAACCCTGCGTTCATTCTGCACCTACCAGATAGGTTGCTTTTCTCGGCTCCGATGTTACTGGAGGACTCGACGGTGGTTTTTTCGGTTGTACTTTCTTTCTCCTGGGCCGAAGAAAATTTGTCAGATGCTGTGATAGTCTTGCGCTTCGATCCAGACTTTTCGGTTAACTGTTCATAGCTCAAGCAGTCAGAAATCCCATAAGCTGTCTCAAAAAACTGATCAAAGCCTTGAGGAAGTATTCCATTCCTCCCCACTGCCGTGTAGAAATTGCAAGATGGGTTTGAGCCTCCACGCTGGCTGTATACAGGATCGTTTTTAAACAGCATTCCCGTCCTGGTCGGTGGTTGGATATAGTCCCTATGCATTATTTCTTCTGCAGAACAGTAAGGGGCATAATTGCTCCTATAATGCCACTTAGTGGAGTGTTCTAATCCGTAATCTCTGAACGACACCTCTCGGACAGGTTGAACCTGGGTTAAATTAGAGGAGTAAGGAAATGTCATTTGGCAAGAAGTGCTCTGCGGTAAAAATGTTGATACTGACGAGAAGTCTGGGGCTGAAACATAGTACGTGCAGCTGGGCAAATACATACTCGAGGCGCAGCTACTACGGTCTTCAAACTCTGTCATATTTTGTTTTCTGAGTTGCGAGGACGAATGATCAGGATCGATGATGTTAAACATGCTCCATGTATTCTCCTCTAAAAACCGACGAACAGGGTCCGCGAAAGAAAAAAATTGGAAACGCAAGCTGACGTGCAATTCATCCTGATTGATTCTAAGGGTAAACGAGTCATGTGATCCAATGTCGAAATTACCATAGATCAGTTTTGGTCATTAAGATCCATCCTTTGCTGCTCGAAGGTATTACACTCGAAATTAACCTATCGGCTTTCAGGGTCTGCTAGGTAGCTCCTTTAACTCCCAGTGCCAAAAATTTGTCCTGTGACTAAGGATAAAGCAAACACTGCAACAAAATAATTCAATTTACACACCACAGACTGTCACAGATACCTTTCTATATTTGGAAACTTCAAAAAAACATCTGCGTTGTTTCATTCACTGTTGAAGCCACGCTCTATTAAATAGGACGAATGTAAATTCTGATATTTTTAAAATGCAAAAATCAATAGTCTGTCACAAGTAAGTAAGAAGATTTCCAAGCTGGGTTTTGGCCGTGCACCGAATCATAAGACACAGTTTTAACTCAACTGCGAAATCAGATTGACGTGATAATACAATCTTTGACTTGTGTTTCTTAGTAAGAAATTAAGCGAAAAAACGTCTATTAAAGCTTTCACTTTTATTTTGAAGGGAGTGCTTTTCTACATTTCCTTTTCATATGTAATATCGAGTTTGGCAAATAATAAAACCGTTCTCTACTATTGAGCTTATTTTCTCGGATCTTTAGAATTGAGGCATAGATGCTGTAGTTTATATTACACAAAATAACCATCCAATGACCACTTCATTTTAAAGTTTTGATTGATATGAATCGTAAATATGCGAACGGAATCAGATTTTGAAGTTTGTTGCCTTAAGAACTGCAGCAACACATTGTATTAACTTCAGAATATGGTGGCGCTGCAATATTAAGATTACTCCTTGCTGCAAATTGAGATTATTCCTAAAACATCAGATTTGATCGTTGCGTAAAATCTTCACTGCAATTCCAACAGATCATATTCGTGATTTACATAAATTAAAACCCACCGATGGAAGTTGAATGTGGAAGCTGCAGACGCTTTTTGTAGGCCGGGAATTAAAATTAGCGGTTTGTCGTGCTATTCCGTATTCTTTCCCATTTGCACAGCCTAATACATGCAACCTACCAACCAACGGGTTGACTTGGATGAAAGTAAGCACCTCATTTGAAAAGTGCTTGAATCTGCAAATGAAGACTGTCCTCTGCCCTTTTAAGTGAAGACCAGTCAAGCGAAGGACATCGTAGCGGATGCTTACGTGTAACTGTTAAATGCGAATTGATTTACAGAGGGAAAAGGTGCACTGAGAGAGAAAAATAATTAGAGAAATCTCTACTCATGTTCTAATTTACGTTTATTAACTCGTTAAATAATACTTGTCATTATCTATCATAACATTTATCGCGTACGAGCAAGTAAGATGGATGTCTCTAATCGTTATTTCCTTTGGTCAGTTCCAACTGCACGAGTTATATTGTCTCTAATTACAAATTAGTTCGAAATTCTGTTGTAATCAAATGGAGTACTCTGAGGATAAACCCAAATAAAAATATAATCAAAGTGTAGATATCATTGGTTCTAAACGGAAGAATTGTTTGGTAGCAAAACTTGGTTTTTTTACAAATTTTGATTCAAGTTAAAATTTGGAGACCACAAATGTGTTGGATTTTGATTCGTTTGTTTCACTTGCTTCAAACTTAACAGCCGCATTTATAAAATGCGACATCCGGCGATTGTCGATATGAAGTATATGAAATCGTATTGCTTCAATCACTGAGGTAGAACAACACATTGTTGTCTTTGTTTATTGTCAAATAACAATAGTAATTAATCTTAAATTAAGTTGAGTTAGTTATCATGTCGCCTCTGATTGCTTATACCGCTACATACAGTAAAGCCACATTGATATGAGGGGCGCCTGCCGAACATCGTTCCTACACAACGGTTTGAAATGAGAAACACCTTGCTTATATATTAACCCACGTTTAAAGAAATGTCTTCTTGAATGTATATTCCCTTTGTATAATTAATAATAATATCGTTGTACGTTGTGTTTATGGATTATAGAATTGGCTTAGTTATGCGCCCGTCATAATCTGACTTTCATTGCTCCATATAATGGCTGTAAAGCTGAAATGTGCCTGCAATGGTCTCCAACTCATTTCCAAACTAGTACGAACTGGCCAATTAAATAACATTAGTCAATGTGTTAAAAGATCCGGTTCAATACTGTGGCAAAGGCTGTAAAAGAGAAAGGGAATTAAAAGTGTCCTTTGTTCTCATCTCGTGTTCAGATGACCAGTTCGGCCTGTATTGAATACTAAATGAGGACAAATATCTAACAAGCTGCTTAACATCGACAAGGGACTCGAGGAGAGTCTGGCATACCAAGCTAAGAGTCTTACAGTTTATAAATTAGGATCGTCATTCCCTTACATGGAACAAAAGGCGATGTTCGAGGAAAGTTTGGTAGGCGTATTTTTCTCTTACGCAATTCTTCAAGTCGACGAGTTGTTGTTTCACGTTGACGTTCCGGGCAAAATATTAGCGTCTTCTTTGTGTTTTTATCTAACTGCACGCAACATTAAGTATTTCGAATGTGAAAAAAACTCATTAGTCAAGCAAAGTCCACGATCAGTAGGTATGTTAGACTTGTGCAATCTAAAAGAGACACTAACTTGACCTTAACTTTGTTATGGCGCCCCCAGTATCTGGAGAACATGTACAGACACCGTCTGGCAGATCGACCCATAAAAGTGAGATGAAAAAGAGATTCTGAACGATTTCAATGTAATGTCGGACAAATTTCCAAAGCTCTGTCTCATACTGCTGCAGGCCCGATCGCTTTGTAACAGCAGTACATTTTAGTTTTGGAGCGATTAACTTTGCTCACAATTATCAAACAAATTAATGTAAATATCTGTCTGGAGCGATGTGCCACATTTATTTGCACTCGCCGTATAATTGGTAAGGGAAAAAAAAATCAGAAATTCAGCCGCAGGCTCAGGTTTCATCACCCGAAAATAAAACAGCAGCCGTTGGAAGAGCAGAGTGATTCTGAACTTGGTCCGTTTCTTGTTCCATTTGAAAGGCAACTGACAACGCCGAAATGCTGGATTATCAGGATATTTTAAGTTCACATGAGCCAGAAATGTAATCGCGCTGATAACGCTAAAATTTCAATATTGACGGATGCATGGTAGCATAGATTTTGAAATAAACCTTACGTATTGATAAACGTACAGAAAATGTGTAAGGCCTTCTAAAGAATGGGCGGGCATTCTTGGCTTCAAACGAATCGGTGACTGTATTTGATTCCCATTATTGTTTTTAATGTGGAGCTCGCGGGTGTCCTTCTCGCGTTCGGTAGAAGCTCCTTCAGATTTACTCGCCCATACTGCTGACCTAAGCAGTGTTTTTATTAGATCACGGTGCCTCTAAAACAAGCTCCCCAAATTCAATGGGCTGGAAGTACACATTTACGTTAACTCTACCCAACTCTCTAAAACGTAAGCAATGGAAAGTTCTGCACGCAATCGTTTTTCATTGCACTTTTAGTAAAGATTCATGCAATCTCATCCGAAAGTTTGCAAGCCGATTGAAATGAACCTTTGATCATCTCAATACATATTTTACATCCAATTGTAATGGAGGAACATTCACTTGACTGTATGTGGTTTGAAAGTTTTCACATTGCACCTGCCTTTCTGAAATGTAAAACGATTCGACAATCACAGTAATATTTCTTTCTGTTGTCATAATCCTAACAATGCAAAAACTATTGTTCAATGTATCTGGGCTGCAGGTATTTACACGTATTTCATTGACTTGAAACAAACAAAAAGTCCAGAGACAAGGGGTATGAAATGTTGCTTTAACACTAGCAAATAATTGAGAGGCAACATTGAATCAAATTAATGTTACTCAATAACTTAAAATATGTGCATGCTGTTTGTAGCACAAAAGTTGCATTTAAATAACTTGCCTGAAAAAAAGTGCCTGAATTTCATAACATCGCTCAAATTAGACATTATTATCTGGACATATCTAAGGGGCATGAAACTTTGCTGATTAATTCTAAGCAGGTACCCGGTAAAATGCCCAGAATTGAATAGCTAGCTGCATTTTATCAGAGAACATTTATTTGCATTGATATATTTCAGTAAAATGTATTAAGAGGTTCATGAAATCGCGAAGTGCATGTTTAATTAATAGGAGTCCAGAGAAATGGCGGGGTTAGAGGTAATGGCTGTTCCTGCCCACCCACATCCTGAGTTGCTCGAATGAGAAGCGAAATGACTGCAACTCATTCATTGTCGCTCATCTCTTTTCATAGCTGCCGAGCTCAAATGTGAAGTGCGTCTCTATCAAACTACATTTTAACAAACGAACATATTCGCATCAAAGCATAACTTCAGACTTTTGAATTAATTAAAAACCCACCATACTTGAAACCGCCAAGTGAGAAAAGAAATGAACTTAGGAGGGCCTGAGCATGGCTTTGTCATAAAAGGAACGTTGTAATAATAATTATGGAAAGGGGTTGATAGCCCTTGATTCCGTTTTCTAAAAAGCAAACACTATTGCCAACATTTTGAACTGTTTCATGAAAAAAATGACCCAACCGCAGTTTAAATCGTAGTCAACCTGTGTGACAGAAAAGAAATCGTATTCTCGTTTCAAGTGAAACAGATACGTGGCGCCCCGCATCCGCATGGAATTATATTCAATTTGCAGCAAAGGAAAGATTATTTCATTTTATAACATTTCGTAAAAGCCTGTCTTAAATCTTTCTGCCGTTGAAGAATTTGAATTGTTATAAACTAATAGAAACGCCTTATTTAGCGGGGCACTTATCGGTTAAAATAGGCGTGAGCCCTTAGTAAAAATAGTAACGGTGCTGAAACCAATGTTAAATAGTTTGTTGCAAAATCAAACTCCATCTGAATAAAAATAGATATCCCCAGGATGTCTGCACTGTGCGCTTTCTATTGTTGCTCCGGCCTTGCTTTACTATGAGAACATAACCGAAGGCAGTTATTGTCTCAGTTCGTGTGGATATAATCTCCATAAATTTTGTTGTTCTCCATGCTTGGAATTTCCAATTACTGGAGATTTTGTACAGCCAAATTCCAACTAGATCGGCAAAATGTAAGTTTGCATATCTCCTGTAGAAAATTGACAAACAGTACTTGGGCACATGATATTTAGACAATATTATTTGAATACTAATGCAATCATTTGAAAGCTATTAGTTACGAAACTATTTCCTCTGAAATGCATCTAAACGACGATTTAAATTTCCAGTGCTCTAATCGAAGCACGGTGTATATTAATGCTTTCAGATTTGACCGCTAGTGTATAAATATTGGAACTTATTCACAAATTAGGTAGTGAAATAATATGTTTCTGGGACGAATGAACTTCAATAAATCAATCGTAGAAAAATGTAAGCTGTGTTTCTTTAATTTTATTTTGTTCAATACGATCCTTTAAAGAACTCAAGAAAAGTACAATTTCATAACAGTTTTCGCACCCGTGTTTATTTGTCACTTCTGGCACAGTTGATCATTTATGTAATATTATGGACAGGTTTCATGTGCAATTTCAGCAGAACAACTTCGGGATTATGAAACTGAAGTCGCTGGAACTTTGAAAACAATTCGGCGTCAAGACACTGGTCAGTCACAACATATCAATAATACCAACACATTTCCATTCGTCTAATTAAAGTCATCGCATACTGCTATCGCTCAGTGTGGAAATGCAGTTTTCGAAAATCAAATGTGACACTCCTGACTGGTATGAGTATTTATCAGATATGAGTTAATCCACTGTCCAGCTCCAGCTTCACAGCAAGATTACAAAACATGAACTGTATATACAAATGAAAAAAATGCTTCGTCGTTCATTTTATTAGAACTAAATGTACATAGGTAGAGTGCATGCATAATAGTTATATATTTAAGATTTATATTCCAACGTTCCATTCTAATGATCTGTTGTACTTACATTCTCAAATGCAGAATATCTGCTTTTTACTCGAACGGAGTCATGTGAAAATTTAAACAAATGGAGGAATCAAAACAATGACAAATGTCTTTGAAACTAAGAAATGACGATGAGAAGAGGCCGGCACGTTATCCATGAACAGCAAAGTACAGACCACAACAAGTCAAATTTGTGCCTTACGATAATTTCCTGTTATGGCAAATGTTCACGAGGTATCCACAGTTTGCATCTCAGTCCCTGTATGTCGCTGATGTTTAACTAAACCAACACGCCCTGGACTAGTGGCAGTGGCAATGTAATGTAAAATTGCTGTTTTATATGACAGCACGTCAAAGGAGCACCTATCCATTAAAACAATGGATATTCTTGATCTACATGCTTTCTGTAAGCAAGCTTAGTTAGCATTAAAAGTTCAATTCGCGACCTTGAAACTCACATATGAACTTTACTTTGGCCTAAAAGAGTGAGAGTGTTTGTTCGCGCATAACAAGCCTTTTCTTTTTCATACGCCGGTTTTGAAACCAGATTTTTACTTGTTGGTCGCTCAGATTCAGTCTATCGGACAATTCCTTCCTCTTCTGTCGATTGATGAACTCGTTCGCCAGAAATTCATTTTCAAGTTCAGCTATTTGCTGTTTTGTGTACGGCTTGCGTTTTCGCCTTGACCTCACTTGGGTTGGACACCAGGGCAGCCCTGCAGATGGAAAAAGAGAGAAACAAGCTGAAGCAATGCGAACATTTCACCACCCCTTTCATTTTAAAGCGAATTCATGTTTCAATATCCAATATTACCGTAGACGATAGCTTTTTTTTAACGTTGCAAGATTAATTTGATGCCGTTTATAGAAATGTTGCTCAAAATTTGACAGAAGAAAATAACAATTTCGACTTTTTGTGATACCTGTTCTTTGTAAATAACAGAAGACCCCGAAATAATCTTTTCTATGATCAGAGGTCGACACAAATAAATTATTCATATTAGGCATTCAAGTACCTTAATATTCAGTAGACATTGCAACACAAAAGTCGCAATTACAAATTCCAGAAAAAGCCATGGAAGTTAATAATAAAATGTAACAAATTCAGTAAACAATTACGATTACAATGTGTAAATGCTAGCTAGCAATTACACTGAAGCATTTAATTGTAATTTAAATGTTATAATTAATTTAATTTTAAACAATTTGATCTATCATCTCTGCCATGTGTTCAGTTTCTGAGTACTTTATTTTCACGCTATAATCATTTTTATCATTACAGGATTATTTTCCTGCTGTTCTGAATGTAATAAGAGCAAGGTTTCCAGGACCCCTGCTTGATGATTAATACATGAAATTCACGTGAAGGTGGCAGGTAGTTCTTTTGGAAAGGAGGGAGAATTCAATTTCCAAATGGTCATCGCTTTAATATTGCGTTGATACTATACCATCGGAGGATCTGTTGCATACTGGCGTTACTGGTGACTGTAATGACATACTGAGGCTCACACTTTGCTTGATGCCATCATTTACAGTGGGAGAGTTGGAATTCAATTCAAAGCCTTGGTTATGTAATGACGAGCCATGTAGAGATGTTTCCACGTTTGGGTACTCGTACTTGGCAGCATTAATGTTGACTGAAGAGGGGATGCTGGAATCACTTGGATAAGACTGATTGTGTCTACATCTCTCTTCCAGTTTGCGGCTGCTGTCTTGGAAGTAGTATTTGTTTGGCTCTTCGCCGGCTGCTGCCTTCTCTGATCCATGCTTATTGATGCTGATGGAGACTGAGTTGCTGAGGTAGGACTGAGAGTAGCCGCTAAAGGCGCGGCTCTGCGGCGGCGATGCGCATGGACTCGAAGTCCACGGGAGCGAGCACACCTCCCGGCGGGTATAGGAGAGTGCTGGCGACAGAGTTGCCAGTTGAGTCCCATTCGGACGCAGGTTGGCGAAGTAGAAGGGCTCCGGGCTGGTAAAATTTAACAGGGAGCCGACATAGCCTGAATTTAGCAGATTGTGCTCGCACATTTCCGAGCAGCGCGATCAGATCCTCTCTGTGCCCTATTTAGCTTCCAGACAGAGATAAACGAAAGACGCTCGCTGATTGGCCCTTTGACGGTCACAAGACAAATGGAAACAGCTTTTTTTTCTGGAACCGCCTCCGTCCCGCTGCAACTCACATCTGAAATGTCCAAGTACACGTCCATATGCACCTTCACCCTACTCTACGGCAGTTAGCCCGACATAACTCGCTTAACTCAACAGGATGCATATACAACGCAGAAAGAAGTATTTAAACGTGTTAAAATGGCATACGTTGCAATAGATCTCCGAGGATTGAACATACTCTTAAAGGGATTAAAATGTGGCTTCTTAATTCATAGAGTTTGAAATAAAATGTTTTTAAATAAAGTTTCTTATGCATCTAAGGTTCCTCGATTCTTTCAAACCCATTTCACAATTATTTAACATTTACTGATAAAATTGACATGAAATTGTCTACGATAATATCTGACGTGCATCATTTTAATTGGCGGTGCGTAACATTTGTAGGCAGAAGAAAAGTATGAAATGTTAATTAAAAATACCTTCTACTTGTTATATTTTAACTTGATTACTTCTAGTTATTCATTAAAACTCAACATCTCTTTCGGGCAGGAACAACCGCTGTGACAAGGATATCTATGTTCATTTCAGACACGCTACATATCTTATTTTAATTATTTTTTAAAAATAAGGACGAATACTAAGGTAAGCGGTAACAATGTTTCAAAATTTAACCCGTGGGCATTTGTGCAAACAATCCACAGGGGCGTCTAGAAAATATATTTTTGTGCTTATGCAAGTACAGGACGTTTGAAACATCGAATAGATCGGTTAATGTAACTAAAAAAATCGCATTTTTGTAAAACAAATGCATTCATAAAACTGAACAAGAAAGTAGGGTTTACTGTAAAATTAAGCAAGGTGATATTCTAATTCGCGTTACTGGATTCAATTTTTAAGACATTATTGATAAAATTTCAGCAAGTTCGTTATGTTAAACTATGCTTGCATTATGAGTTGGAAATTTAATGTGTCCACGTTTGGTTCGAATAGCGTCGAGCAGTACAATTGTGCTTCACATGAGATTCTGCAAGTGGAAATATTGAAGCTAAATTTGGTTGAGTCCGTGTTTACAAAATGCACATGATTGTAATATTCAATAGGTTATGGATGATCTCCCTGAATATATTACAATTCTGTACAAATTTGAGGCTTCCTAAGAACGCTGCTCGTTTCGTTAGAACCGCGAACCCTCGATTTATAATTCGTCAAAGAAAATTTTGAATGAAGATTGCTGAAGTAAACGCCAACATTTGCCACGCTAGTGTCAAAGTGAAAAGAAACGCGCTTTCCCTTTATATCTGTCCTCCTTAGAATTGTTAGAAACAAATATTAAGCAGCATCTGCAAAATTGTGCACGGAATTTGCTAATCATTAAATAAAATCAACACGGCTGTTTTAAATTTAACATTTTAAATTGACATTTAAAAATAATAATTATGCTAAAGTGTATTGACAGCAAATCAAATGGAATAAAGGACTAAACATATTACTTCTACCTTATTGTACTCTGCCAGTAATTCTGAAGCCAAGCACGACAATCGGTAACTAAAAGTCACGCGTAAACGCTAAGGAAACAAGACGATGCATTTCTAGCGTTGTATCAACTACAGAAATGCGATATTCTATTTTCTTTTTGTTAAGGCTATTAGTAATTATTGGTCTGTAAGTTAACAATTTGCTTTGTCTTCCAATCCATACATTTACAATCTGACACGAACTAGCTTTCAGTAAAAGTCATGTGCACTAAAATCAAAGCAGATACCGCCATCACATCCCCACCGGAAAGGAAAACGACTGTTCTTCCCCTGTCTCTTTTATGATCCCACGAAACCCTAAACATGCCGAACCGGTTTTTTTTCTCTTAAGATTTTAAAATCCGGGTGTATTTGCAAACAAGGCCAGTTAACCTAAGGCGGGTCTCCACCTAACCATTTTTGCAAAAACGCGAAATAACTAAAAAAAACAGTTCAAGGTCAATGTCGAATAGGATCAAATCGCCATTTTTTAAAGAAATGACGTTAACTTCGTTTCAGTGCAAAATATGTTTTCGAATTGAAGTCAGTTCAGTTTGAAAAATTGAGCCACGTCGGACGCAATTGAGGATTTCATTCGAAAGACTGTAACCAAAGAAAGAAATTGAGTGAGGATCTTCACTTTACACCTACCATAACCAACGCTGCGTTATTGTTCCGGATGTTTTCTCAAGACTCTCATTCGATTAGGATTTCCATTTCAATGCTGTTTATTAAATTCGACCGTAATTTATACATCCGCATACTGAACAAAGCTGCAATCGAATAAAATGTATGCTGCATATATCACAGAAACTCCTAATAAGGTTAATTCACCTATGTTCTTTTGTTTACAATATAAAACCAAAGCCAGGATGTGGTTGGTTTTCGGGATGTGAATACGACGTAAAATAACATACAGGAATTAAAGCTTGATGCAAAAGTTCTATCAAAAAATAGCGTTAAAAGTTGTCAAATGCTAAACCATAGATTATAAAGAAGTTGAACACCAGTAATCGTAAACTTCACATAGCTTGAATTGAAATACTTACACTATCCGATTTACATGAAAAAATGCACAATTCTGCAGTTTGAGTTGCTAATTCAATCTTCCAAAAAGATCTTAAAAGAAGAAAATATTGACCTAATTAACATTTCTGGCTCTGTTTTGCAGCACAAATTAAGAACGACCATCTTGTAATCCGAGTTACCGCAGTCCGAAGGATAATGTTGACTTGTGTTTTACAGCGGATTGCCCAGCAGATGGCGAACTAGCTCTGCGATGAGAGTAGTCCTTATTATTCATGATGCTAAATAAAGTCAAGGTCAAAGACTATAACCATAGTCAAGGTCAATGGTAAATAGAAATTTGACGTCAGGGCGCTAAACGCTTGCCAAAAATGTACCTTAATATCATCGAGCTCCGACACTTTTAGTAGAAGAAAATCAGCCTGCATGTGCGTATTAAATATGACAGAGCTTGGAATTTTAGTATGACTTGAAATATCATAATTCTTTGCAATTTCCTTCTAAAATTGACGGGCAGAACCTATCCCAACGCACAGGAATATAGTTAGAAAGAAAGTGTTAGCAGCTGGTAAATAAAGATGGCAGGGTCAGGAGTATTATCACCTACTAAGTTCATGCTCATATAAATTGAAGCAATGGCACTTAGCTTAATTCTAAACATCATCACTTAATATTTCTACGTTGAAAAAAGGAACTGATAGCTCTCCTCACTTCCTCATCTCAAGAATGATTTCCTTTAGATTACAAATCCACAATACACTCATTCTGTTATGAACACTTTACCCAGATCAGCATGTTTTGTTTCATTTACGCATCGTCGTCGAAAAGGCTGGTACAATAGTCATTTACTTTAAACTGCGGCGCGATTACAAGATTGCCTGCCAAATGATTAATTTAAGTTTAAGTTAGAAGGAAAAACATTAGCTTTATTGCTTATACGTTTAAATGCATTTAATAATAATAAAAAGACGCACGATGCTATATATTTTATCGTGCCTTTCCACAAAGCAGATCATTCTAATTGCGAACTGGCACTTTGCATCAAGCGAATTACTTGTGGCAAACCTTAGAAAACATTAGAATATTTGTGTGAAATAAGCAAGATCCTATATTGAATTAGCCGGCACTAGGAAAAATGAGACTGGCATCAAACCATAGCCTTTCTAAAACCAGACGTTAGTATTCTACTGGCTTCAACTATATTAAGAATTTTTCTTATTTCATGACCGACTTACTGCAGATATTTGGATTTGACCTTTTTTGTTTTAAAGCGCATCACCCTGTAAACAACGCATGCTCCAAATAGTATAAAGTATAGTTTGAATTTATTAATTTATACGCAGCAAGCAAATGCTGGACAATATGTTCAAAAAACTATTAGCAAAATATCATAAAATAATTTATTTTAACACCGTCTTTCTTTTTGTTTAAGAGTTTGTATTTTCACCCCAAAATACCGAGGTGCTAAGGTACCTTAGACACATGTGTGCATTAGGGAAGCACTTTATGTAAATACTGATAAGCTGAATCCAAATATGGCGATATGAAAAGCCAAAAAAGATGAATTGATTTACAAGAAATATAAAACTTGAAGACAGTTAAAGTGTGATTTGTTTTAATATTTTACACGGCATAAATCAACGTAAGAAAACCTCTCGAGTTCGTATTTAACTCGTCTGCGTAAAGAAAACGATGGACAAAATGAACAGATACTTGCGTTAAAAGTATACATAAAACATAGAAATAATGCCAAACTTCTCCACTATGTTACTCCTATAGTTATCATTATTACAATTTAAGTATACAGCGCAACAAGTTAGTAATTAGGAAACAGCTGTAAAAAGTTTCAATTAAAGGCACCGCATTCAAAACTATCATGGGGCTTTTAAATATATTAGCATTTCTTTTGAAAATAACAGTTTTAAATGAACGAAAGACTCAAAGGCAGAAACATAGCTTTTCATTCTTTAACATAACTTTTAAGGACATTTTAAATTTGACAAGCATTCCATTTGAATTCGTGATTAACTCTTACATTTACTTAGGACAACATGTTACTATAGAACTTTCTGCAGTAAGTAAACGGAAAGTCCTTTCTAAGCTAAATAATTTATTATGAAAATGATTGTAAGTTCGCTGCCGATTAATATGATAAAATATCTTATGAGATTGTACCGCAGTTAATCTGTAACTATCTCAATTACACAGATTTAAAATGGTATGTTAGCAGTATATTTTCAATTATTCACAACAGAATGGATTTGTTGCTAATATATATTGTTAGCATTTGAATCCACTAGCAACACAGCCATCTTGCAAAGCATGACTGAAAACATAAATGTTAAATAAAAATGCTTTGCATTAAGAAAGTTATAAATACTTTTCATTTAATGTCAACTTTTGCGTTTGATTGTGTAATCAGTTGTAGTCGCCATTTTATCTGGGTGTTGCAAACGTCCAGCAATTTAGCTGAACCCTCGAAAAGATGACTTAAGACTGAACTAAGCATTCATTTGCGACAGTATTTGCAATGCCACTCGTGAAAATAATCCAGCACGGTAACACAAGACAAACATGTGAATGTGGAACTATTCACATACTGAAGAGTGTCCTATTTCTTTGAAAGTGGTGAAGTCAGATCAAGTATTTTCGCAAAATTTGCACAACATTTTTATGGAAATTGTCATTTTAAGATTTGTTTATAAATCCGAAGCTGTGTCTCGAAAGTCTTCCACATTCATTTCGATTCTTTTTCCAAAAGGAAGACCATCACATGTAATTCACAATGCGCCAGCAAGGTTCCTGATATCTGCGGGATCAAGGTATATTTTCTTTGACTTTAGAAACCACTTTCTTCTCCTTGACTCTTCTGTTCTGAAACCATATGGTGACTTGTCTTTCGGTAAGATTGGTGGCAGTGGATATCCTTCGTCTTTTATCCTTAGTTATGAATTTGTTTGTGGCGTATTCTCGCTCCAGTTCTTTAAGCTGAGTTTTCGTATAAGGAACCCTTTTCTTCCTCCCTCGCCTGTAAATGTTTATGTCGGTCTGATTGTGCATCACATCTCCTGGGGGAGTGGGGGTGGGGGGAATGTAATTGATAAGAACATCAACTTCAAGCCGTAGCAGTTTAAAGCCGTTTTTTTTTCAATTAAATAACATTGCCACATTCTTTTCTCTTTTAAGCATAATTTTAATTACCCAACCAAGCTATTTAGTCATATGGTCAATTCAGTTCAATGTATTATTTCAAACTCATGGTTAGTCTGTGTTTTCAGGTATTAAGCTTTTGAAATATAGCAAATTAAACGACTAGATAATTCCTGACAATATTAAACCAACCCAACGTGGAGTAATTTTATTTCCTTTACATTAAATAAATCGCAACTCTTTTCAGTGAAAATCATTTCATAGTACCTGGAAGAGGAGATTTCCAGAAATGTGGAGTCTGTGTCTGATCTTTCGGGCAATACACTTGACCATTCCAGCCATTAGCAAATGTCCAGGGCTGATAGCCCTCCATGGAAATTAAGGCTTCATGCCTTGGTTCTCCGTGCCCGCTTATTGTAGGGACTACTGGAACGTCCAAATAACCAGAGACTCGTTGGTAGGGATTGGGGTAGCTCTGATAAAATGCAAATTCTTTTGCCCTGGATGACACCTCGTCAGTGGGGACAGGCGTGTTAGTCAAACCCGAAACATCCATGTATTTGTCCACTGGATAACCGGCCAGAGATGCATGGGCACCAGATTTCAGTCCAGTTTGTTGAATGCCAACATTTCGACAACTGTAGTAGCTGCTTCCAAAATGATAGCCGTAACTTATCGCTGGGTTGGCAGGGCTTGTGGGAGCTGGGCAGGGGCTGCACTGCTTGGCAGATTCAGAAATGACAGAATGCGTTCGATCTCCGACGGAGTAAGCGGGGCCCGAAGATAACGAGTTATGATGAGCTCCAAATGCAGAGGGAGATAGAAAATTCCTGCATTGACTAGAAGGGACGTTCCCTCCTAATCCTTCCATTTCCGAGTTAGTGGTATTATTTCTGTTGTGTAGGTACCTGATTGTATCAGTCCTCCAAGGGGCTGAAAGAAAAGAAGCTGTCATATCACGACCCACTGCAAACTAAGTACTGCTTTAGAGAAGCAGCCTCGGCAGTGAGAAGAGGTGCTTATTTTCACTGATTAGTGTGTGCACTGAGCGACTGAAATCTGATAGGTCGATATTGGTCACGTGACACGCAGCGACTGAAGCTAGCTTCAGCTGGCATTACACTTCTTTCGCAATGTTCAAACCGTTTAATTTTTCCTCAATTCATTCATTATAATTGACTGCAGGAGCTGCTGAACATTGAAGATAGAAAACGCGATGACTTTTTCCACGGCAGTACCCTTACGATTGATTTCACGAATTTAGTATTATGGGTATCTTGCATAATATAGTCTGTAGCATAAATACATAATACGTACGGCCTACATTGCACTCTTTGAGTAGATTTTCCATTCTATTGATTTCTATTTCAAATAATGCTGGGATACCTTTTACAAAGTAACAATTTCAAATTTGCATGGAATGAACTAAAAAACTATACAGTGATATAAATTCTTGAATGTTTGGATACTGTGATGAATAAAATCGGCATCAACCTGTTTAGCAACAACATATCGTTCAGGATAACGTATAAATCTTTCGATGTCTTAAACGGCGCTATTTTCATTCTTCTATACACAATTGAGAAATAGATTGGAAGGATCACTACTTGTTTCACCAGTTCATAAGGCAGTCAGACATATATGGATTTCCCCTCGAATTTTATATTTGCTATTTTTTCGAAAATTCGGTGGAAAATAATTCGGATCTATATTTTATTTTCGCTCAGACTTCCGATCTGTTAAAATGAAGGCAGTTTTATTCAGTATTTTCCTTAATTTCTGCTGATGTGTTGCCAGACTATGGAGAGTGTAGATGTCTGATATTCATTCTGATTTCCATGCAATAACCTGCTTGTATATGATCCCATTGCGTTTTCAGCGTAAGATTAACACATATTGGGAGTAGTTTGCATTTCGCATAAAACCAATTTACATTTTTCTCAATTGCTACTCGCCTGTTGCATGTGTCAAACAAGTATGATTTCGGGAAAGGAATCGCCTTTTACAAAAAAAGGAAATGCCGTTTTCCTTTCTTTATGCCTTGGTTTAATTATGTAAAATATGAAGGTTTTAGACTTTGACGTTAAGTTCCAGCATAATTCGAATGCATGATTGAATTCACCCAAGGGCCTGATGAGAGAAAAGCAAATATTCGCTGATGTAACTCCGCTGTTGGAAGCAGGGCATATTTTGATCAGTCCAGTGTACTTTAATAATAACTTAATATGTAGAAAAGTATTTCTTCAGCCATCAACATTAGTTTTCCACGCACGCTTTCTCAAATTTGGTAAAGCCACATTTTGTGGGACAAATCAAACAATATTTTGCAGCTTACCTTAGAATAAACGACTCGTAATTAATGCACTACAAATATTACATAACAATTTTCGATTAATTAAAACGAAATAATTCCATTTTGGGAAGATTTTTAGACACAAATAATATGTTACAGTTACCTGTGATAACAGCAACCACAGTCATATTTTACAATGTTAAATGGATAATGAAAAGAGATTAGATTTTGTGATTTGTTTTTCCGTGAGGAATATTATGGAAAACTGAGGGTCCATCTTACTCTTTCACTGTAGGTACCTTCCCCAAACTTACAGTTCCCGAATACGTAAAGTTGTTGACGAATTTGACACTTAGAGAAACTTATCAGAATATATTCGACACTGAGCAATTGAAAACTCTAAATAATTATAAAGCATCATTCTGTGCACGAGCAACGCAAGGGTTGTCATATTAAAAATAAGACATTTTCAATCTTAGTCAAAGGGACATGTGCCGTTATTTCATTGAAACACGTCGAATTCTATCTACGATCGTCCCTAATATGGATAGATTAATGAACCCATATATTTTGAAATAAATTGGTCTGTATTAAATGAAATAGTTACGACAGCCTTTAAATTAATAACATGAAGAAAAAAGATTTCAAATCAGCAAATTCAATGCTTATCCTTCTATTCAACTATATGAGTTGAATGAGCACAGCGCGTTTAGGAACAGCGGATGCTAGATATCCTCAGGAAAAGAAATAACAAATGAACTACTCCTACTTTTAATGAACGAGAAAAAATCGTGCTAACGTCATATTTCGAGCAGCTACTTTTATTCAGAATTCCGAGCAAATGCCAGGATCGGAGTTAAAAGTATGCCGCTGTCTCAAGTTAGTCGCATCTCTGGTATGCAGACAAAGGGGTTCTTTCCGGAAGTAGATGAAGTCCAAGGTCAAGGTGGCGAGAGAAGGAAGGAGGGGAAGAGAAAGAGGCTGGTAAACAGCGGCTTAAAGCAACTCAACAGCTCTGTGGGGTTTATGTGAAGATTTCAAAGATTAAAGTTAGCTGTGAATTGTAACATAGCATTGCAAAATCGCTTCCTATTGCTAAATTGTGTCTTCAATGTCACCAATGCTTGTGGTAATATCCAGCATGAATTTAATTTCTAAAATTTCTATTTGAATCACTAAATTTCCAACTAAACTACTTCATAAATACATTTGTACGTTCAATATAGCTAATTTAGAAGACCTAGAAGCAGGTTGTGAGGCAACGAGAGATGGAAAACAAATGTAACTCGGTCGTTGTCGCTTGCAACGCAGAACACATCAAAAACAGGGTCTCAATTAATGTAAATTTAAGCATTGCTATTCCGCACTTTGTTTGAAACAATTTCCATTTTGAAAAAAAGGAAGGATTTATTTGTTATTTTGGTTCACAGCAATTGTCCTTCAATCTCAGCGAAATTTAACATAAAGTTCTCATTGTCACTTTGCGAATTTGGGTGTTTCCTGCATGATTAAAAAAAATCCTTTATTCTGTTATCATTATTACAGTTGATCTAAATTCCTTCGTTGGTTTTTTTTTGCCTGGTATTTTCAAATTGGTACATGAATTATTGAAAGTAACATCTGTTCTTGAAAACTATCTCTCATAAAGTGAAATGTAGCTCTGAAGCAGAAATAGCGATTTCGCTTTAAAACTCTACCCGGTTAAAAGCGTAATCCATTCTACCCGTGCCAACGCTTAACAATCGTCAACATTCAACAAGCACGATGAATAATAATTATCTATTATATTTTGTTCTAATTATAACTAGAAGCTTTTCGAAAACACGGCCAATATTGGAAAATATGTAGCATGAATTTGCAGACTAGTCGGCCACTCAAGTTGCGGAAGGTGTAAAGCAACTCTATGATACCCCTACACATGTATTTTCACAAGTCGGAATTGTTTAGTTCAAAGGATTTACTTCGAATCAGTTAGTGACAATAGATGCGTGTGTTTTGTTTTAAATAAATCACTTGATAAAAAGACATCTCCAGTTGAGAACATTCACTATATTGAGACTGACTATATTACATTTCGTATGACCCCATTTGAACACACATTGTTCCAATACAATGACCGATATTAATACACGAAGAAAAGCAGATTACATGCCAACCGGCGCTCGCGTTTTTTTTTCTTGCTAATGGAGGCAAAGTGTTGTAAAGCCTATCTATCCAAGTTCCAACAAAAAAAATACTTACAATATTTGAAAACAAATCGTACAAACTTGCAAAAACTACATTGAAATTTACGTGTGATGCTTCAGATATCCAGAGATATTCCTCCCGCATGTTAAATACACCTACGAGTAACATGGATTTAACTTGTCAGCAGTAATCAGGGGAACGAAATATACTTTCATCTGACATTGCTAGCAACCAATTAATCACTTGATGTTGTGAATGTCTCCTACCTCACTTTTCAGCTATATGTTCCAATTGTAACTACAAGAATAATTTATTGCTTTGAAAGCTGCATTACAACACTCTACAGCGATCCCACGTTCCTGAGTAACTTGTGGTGAGCGCATTATGTATACTTCAACATTTTACAGCCCTACATATGTGAACAGAACATAGCAATATTTATAAATAAGACAATTGTTTGATTCAAAATCAGTTGTTATATGTTCTTGAAACAACATCACTTTCAGCAAGGAACACAAATGAATACGGCACATTGTCTCCAGAAAGAGGAGTGAGAATACAAACAAAGCAACAAGCCATGTTAAACTTCATTATGTAAAAATTATTGCAAAACTTTGTTAGCTTCCAATCCCAGCTGTTTAATAAGAATACAGAAAAAAATTATTCGAGGCGCATAATAGGTGCTAATTTTTTTAGTAGCTTTTATGAAATGAATTTATCTGCATTGGCGCAAATCAGTTCCACGTAAGAAGAAGTTCACTTTCAAGGCTACAGTCTACCAGTGCGCGGAAAGATTTGCTGATACAATATTTGCATTCAAATACAGTTCGAATGCAAAATGTTTACTTCTGCTGGTGAATGAGTGCTGTTACGCAACTATGCTACTACAATGCATTCCAACGAATTTCAGAATTTTCTCAAAAAAAAGCAGACAGCATGGTCTGAAGAACAATATAAAAGAAAGTATCCACCAGACTCTTAGCCCACTGTTCTGTTTCATTGAAGATGATGTAGAAAATAAACGAATTCGACTGGTTGGTTTCTAAGATTAAGTGCCAACATTCCGAAGTCCCTTTTCACTTAAAACTTTATCTGGATGCCAAAACACACCTGTCTTCTGTTTCTGCATCATTCACGACTTGGATTTGCAATTTTATCACGATCTAAAATGCTGATGTACAAAATTTAACACAAATATACTCACTTCTCAATAAATGTATAACCCTTATTGTACAGCAGGTGTCTAGAACAAATTAAATCATCAAGTCCAATGCCACTAAAAGGCACGAAATGGACAGGCATCGAGTTCAGTTTTTTTTTAAAGTTACTAATTTTAAAATTCTCATCTATTTACTTCTCATGTAAACGAAATACGTCAGTTTGTCACGCTGCGACTTTCACTTTCCACCAATGGTGGCGCTGTCTGCTCAACTGGGAAGAAAATGACTTCTACATGGCCAGTTTACACAGGCAATTTCTATTATAAAGGTCGACATTGTGATTTATAACGGAGAAGTTGACAGAAAGAGCCCACAGAAAGAGCAAGATCTTTAATATATAATCTTCAACTGTTATTTCTCCGATATCTGTGAGGACTACATGAATAAGAAAGGTTTGGAAGGACATAGGCCAGGAGCAGGCAGGTGGGACTAGTTTAGTTGTTACTTTGCTCGGCATGGACTGATTGGACCGTCCTGTATGACTCTATGATTCTATGACAGTTATACGTAAGTAATTGTGGCTAATTGTTATCACGGGATTTTATACCCCATTTGTTCTTGACGAATGACTGTGAACGACTTTTGTATCCATTCTGGTCCTCCAAATAATTTTAATTAATTAGATTTAAAATAAGAAAATAACCCCACTATTCGAATAAAGCGAGTCTTTCACGAGCAAAGAATTGAAATTGCAGGAGAAAGTTTGCAAATTCTGCAGCATCTGTAAAGTGAAACAGACTTTAGTTCTAACGAAGGGTCACTGAACTCGGAACGTTAACTCTGATTTTCTCGCTATAGATGCTGACAGGCCCACTGAATTTCTGTAGGACATTCTGCTTTTGTTTCAGATTTCCAGCATCTGCGGGTCCTTATTTTTCACTAGGTGTCCTCGTCATCGTTCCTTCCTCGACCAACATCCACAAACGTCGATTCGCTGATCGTTTATTTGCTTGCTGCCTGGAGGACCTTGCTATTCTCAAATTAGCCGTTGTTGGCGCACGTAAAATAAATTATTCATTGTATGTGGCCCATTTTTAGATGCTGATAACGCACTATATTAATCCAGGGTTTTTGCATTCAGTCATGCACGTGAGAACCTAATAAACTAAAAAAAAAATCCCCGCACGTTTAATTGCACATAATTATTTAGTTAAAAATCTTTCAAATTTCTATGAAGATTGCTGCATTTAAAAGAAAATATTTGACCACGTCGAACAGTTAGCGAAATGTAATCCATGAAGTTTTATAGAAAATTACTCAAAATATGTTTACTCTTTATAACTTTCCTAACCATTTAAGGAATTTCTACCCAGGAATATGATGGCAACATGATTTCATTTCCTGTCGTGGGAGAACCTAAGGCCTGCGTTTGATGCTTTCTTTTGTCTTTCTGGCACCTGTAACTGTCTCATTAAGCTGTTTATACTGACGATGGACCAAAAGCTGCGATTTCAATTCGCGCTTCCAGGTTCAGAAACGCACCTCGGACATACGGCTTTTGCAACTGGATAAAATCACCACTAAAATAACAATAGGGTGCCAATGGGTCCGAATCATCAAGGACCAACTTTTTTTCCTCCTTCAGTGTTTAAACCAAGACCACAAGCAACAACAATCTTTTTAAATTGACATGCTTTGGATAGATAAATTTGCAGAGACAATTGAGACTAAATTTGATGTAAGCACATATTACATCCAGAAGAGATTCTCAAATGGTTGTATTTTACATTTGAGTAACATGGCTGACCAATGTTCCAGTTGTCTGTACAAAACATAGTGCAATTTGTTCCACTATAAATTGTTGCAGAATTACACGTAAATCATTCAGGAGCTATTTCACTCTCGTGACCTAAGTCTTCCATAGCAATATTACGACATTGCGTTATCCACAACCCCGAAATGAAACATCAGTTCAAGTGTTCTTTTTATTTTAGAAAGTGCACGTGCGTTGATCGACAAATCAACAGGGAAGGTTTGAACTGTATAATGTTTAAAACTGCCCACAAGAGGAGCAGAGCAGGTACACAATGAAGTGTTGAGGAAACGGCATAATCTATATACAGACGTAGATGTTATTATGAGTGTTACAGCTTCGAAACTTTCAATCAGCACAACACTGTCTTAAATAAACAAAATTTATCATTTTCCAGCTACTGTTTGACTAAAACCTGCGAATTAATAAGGATTTGTTTTGAAGAAAGGTAACAAACTATTGTGAATACAAATTTGAATTCAATGTTGTGCAAGTAACGATTTCATACATCTGAGAAATTTATTCAAATATAGCACGCCCTTACTTTGAACAATTATGTGTTCCAAACCATTTCAAATACGAAAAGCTTTGTGTACTATTCATGAAACAGTTTATTTTGCAACCTAAAATAATGTTATTGTTCTTTAAACATTACAACTAAACTTTAAACTAATTTGTGTCCAATTATATTTACTCATATATGTAATGAATGGTAAACGAGTATTTAGCGTTTTGGAAAATCAAGCAAAACATTTCGTTTGGTATCAATATTTCGTATTCACCACCATTAATGGATTCAACATCGTTTTAAGTGTTTAGCACAACAAACTGAAGCTCACCGTAACGCGAGATAAAGATTTATGAACTATTTCAACTTCAAAACAAATTAAAAGCTAAAAGGTCCAATAATCCCGTGTGGATTTATGTTTAAGCAGAGGCGACTTTGCCATTGTATATCAGTATACACGTTTTGTGACTCTTAAAAAGCAATTGTGCACATGAGGAAAGCTGTTGTATTTCACAGTCCAGGACAACTTGGCTTTACCAATTGCTGCACGCGAAGAAGTTTTTTTTCTTTCTGTCGCTGATTTTGGAACCATATCTTCACCTGAAAAATACAAATTCTTTTTTTTAAAAAAGGTGACTGATAAAGCTGACTAGGTTTAATATTCAGTAGGATATAAGGCGCCCACCTGTTGACAATAAGGAGGGACAGGTACTTAACATTTTCTTCTGTAGAAAATGAAAGTGTCTTACCTGCCTTTCTGTTAAACCTAACCTAAACGAAATGTTTAATCGGACTTCAGGGGTGAGGAATCGATTATTTTCAAAAGCCATTTCCAGTTCAGCGATTTGCTGTTTGCTGTAGGGGATCCGTTTCTTTCTTTGTCTATGGGCAGGATCCTGCGATGTTAACCAGCGCGTTGTTAGTCCCAATGCTGAAGGAACATACACATCCATCAGTATGTTGAATCATTAGGAATACAATCAGTGAAATACTTAACAATGTGTATTTTACCTACTTACATTGACTTCATGTATGCGCAACCTCGTGATAACTAAACAGCGTCGTTGTTCATCGTTAATTTTAATCGATGTTGGCTGATTTATCCTCCAGAAATTACCATTGTTGAGCGGCGAGAATTAATAGCACACATATTTGCAATTATTTATAAACGTGGGTTCCCATTTCTCCTCCTCTTTGTTATCCAAATGCATAACTTACTTTCTCAGTTGAAATATACAATCTTTGTGACATGTGTTTTGTATACGAAGTGCATATTGTGACTTGACTTTTAAAATGTTTCATTAAAAATACTCATGAAGCGATTAAATAAAAGTCGCTGACCATTTTCAGTTTTTGTTTTAAGTGTACAGCTTAAAACATAAAACCGTCCTCGGGAAAAGCGAACTATTTCAACTTTCCCGAAGTATGGCGGACTTTTTTCTAAAATAGCTCGTAACATGAAATTACCCACCATTCACGGATCAACCAGAATACTCACATCGAAAATGAAATGTAAATCACCTGGGCATTGTTGTAAGACACTAAACTACAAAACTTACCTGTTGTATGCTATTAAAGAATGCGTATTTCAATTCTTAATTAATCTAATCAATCATAATCAATTCTTAATCAATCAATTCTCAATCAATCAAAGATATGTCATGCATGAGAAAGTATTATCAAACCGACCTAAAGCCCTTGGAACACCCGGCATTGCATTGTTGAGTGTTCCTCCTTCAAACGGTGCTCTAGCGTTCTGAGAATAGTTACAGGTAGGCATGTCCTGATTGTCGGGATTTGCCTGGGTCGAAACAGGTGCAGCCCGGGGATATTCTAGTGGCCAATGTTGATAAAGTGAGGGGTTTGTGGGGTATTCACCTCTGGTGCAGAGGTTGTGCCGATAGCTAATAAACGGAGACGTATGACTATCATTTTGAAGTTGGTTTGCAGGGATTTGCACTGCCCCAAGTGACATAGCGACAATCTCTTGATTTGCGCTTCCATGCGATCCGCAAGTCGAAATATCTTCGGAACACAAATCTTGGTGCCTTCCACTTGAGCTCGTTTTCAAAAGGGATGAGGAAAAAGCAGAAGTTCCAAAGTTTGTGCAAAATACTGGCACCATTTCGGTAGGCCGCACTTCATCTTCTATTAATCCTGCTTTATCATTAAATGTCTCCAGCGTCAATTTGTACCGCAGAGAAGTCGAATCCATCTTATAACTACACTGAATGATTGGGTTCACTCCAAACACTTGCAAATACAATCCCCTTGTTAAATTTTTGTCCTTACTTGTAAGTTTAAGTTCCTCTCTGTTCCAAAAGCTGAGAATGATAGCGTGGCAGGCACTGAGCAAATACTTTAAAGTCTGCCTGCCAGAAATGAAACCCAGCACTCCATTAGGTGCACAAACTACACCCTGGATCAAGCTAGCTGATCTTTTTATTGCTGTAACACAGCTACAGTTGGTAAATAAAACGCAGTGTGGACTCTTTGTAAATTAAACTTTGTGCGCAAACGTCAAGGACAGTGCTGCATTACAGAATGACACACTTGTACTGTAGTTATCATACTCTGACTCAAGGTCAATGTGGAGTTTAATGATCATTTTGTCTCGGCTTATTATTTCTGTTTTTCTTTCTCTGACCTTTTCCTGGTGATCCTTGCTCACAATGTTTGATTGCAAGGTACCTTGACTAATAAATGTGCATTTTGTTTTGAACTCAAGCGCAGAATGGAGCAATAATTTAGCCGAACTGTGCATTGTAATCTGGAATAAACCTCTTGCGTGTCATTGCAACTTGTATCAAACAAAAAGTATTTAAGTGCATTTTATTGCCTGTCATAACCCTTAACGCTGTGGAATTACATCTAGCCGTACCTGCATTTGACGATCGAACAAATATTTGGCCCATTGCTGTAAAGTTTCTTTGAGCTCTCTCTAAAGTGTACTATCACCGCGCACAGAAATGTGGTCCGGTCTGTCTACATATCATGTTTTAACCAGCTTCGTGACTTTGCTAACTGATTCAAACTTTCTCTTCGTAAGTATTAAAGCTAATTAAAATGTGAATGACGGAGATCGTGATTCTAGATGAAAACAAAACCTGTTTTCCAAGTGAATGCATTACAGTTTTTTCCTTTGTATTATGTCTAACACTCCTGCTCAGTTTTATTAATCAGTATTATGTCAATGTCAACGAGAATTGCTATGATCCTGCAATTTCCCCATCTATCACCCATAAAACACCAAACAGATATAAAAATATTTTGCGTTCAGTTTAGTTTTCGAAACGAAATTTCAACACTCTAAAAGCTATGAAATAAATGTTACAAACATATTTTCTCCGCGTTCTCCCTTGAAAATGTATATTTGAGAACATCAATGCCCACTTGGGCGGACAATGTCCCAAGAAGGCAATTATTAGCTCTCTACCTAACTTTTATCTCTCATAAAGTGGGAAAACAAAATTCCAGAGGTCAGTTTTATTTTTAAAAATAGTCAATACATGCATTTACTTATCTGTATTATTCTTGAAGTATCTTCGTGTGATGTCCCTACAAAATAACTGATTAATACAACAGCTAACTCATGAACAATCGAGTGTCATTTTAGTTTGGTATCTGCTGTACAAATTTTTCAAAAGCTGTTGGACCTCAGAGACGCGGACTTTTTGAACCGTCATGGAAGTCATCTTCCTGTTAAAATCAAAGAAAACGGGTGAGGGCGCCAGAGGACAGATATTTCGAGAGAATGCATTTAATTCCGTGCCCATTCATCCTGGTTTATCTCACAACTCCACTCAAAGAATACTGCTTCACAATTAAGTAATTGTAGCAATAATTCACTTTGATTGGTAGATTACAGATAATATTATTAAACAAGACTCAAAATAAAGCATGAATAATAAATGACATCAGTCTCAAAAATCTTTCTTTCTCCGGCATGGTGTATTGCATTCATAAAATCTATATGAGTGTTTTCTAAAAAAAATGGTCCGAACATCTGATCTATATGAAGAAACCAAAATTTTCTTATGGTTGCTAACCATACAGCATATTTGCTAACTTGCAATGTCATACCATTTTCAACAGTGGAAAAGTCTTTAACCTCTTCGCCAACAATTTTAATGAGCTTTTCACGGTAGCTTTCTATTTGCATTTTTTAACATTAGAAAATAAGAACGTGAAAACAGTGGCCCCAGCAATTTCCAGAAACCTCTGTTGATATACAACATCCTTGGGAAGAAAAGAAAATTCACAATGTAACTTTTAATATAATCTTTTAGTACAATTTCTTCACCGTAATTGGTATTAGTGGCTTGCTTATGTTTTCTCATAAATCGTAGCAATATTATTTCATTTTCTACTGCGTTATTTTCGACGTTTATTCCCCGTTTGTGATTTGTATAAATGCAGAAATCAGCGTACATGCGAATTACAGGGGCGTGAATATCAATATTTATTGCAGATTATTAACTGCATAAAACACGAGAGAATATATTTACCAGTATATGCATATATATATGACAGGACGTAATTTCGATGGCATAGGGGACTCCATACTAATTAAAACATTTAGCAACGATAATATAGGTTCCGTTTATGCATTATTTAATATTAATTATGCATCTCGAGCGCTTTTGCTACATTGTCATTTCCCATAAGGGGATCTCGATAGAAACCGTTCTGTGACATTCACACTGAAGATCAGTTAATCTTTAATTTAACATTTCAAGCGTGCATTTCGCAACTTAGGTAATGGCTTTCGCTTCTCGTCGGTAAACATTGATTTCGAAAACCGAAGTAACGACGGCGATGATGACAACAACAACAAATTCATCATCATTATCATCATCGCTATCAGCGTCATCATTACTACCACTATTAACACCGAGAGTAGCTGGTCCACACAGATTCTCCATCTTTCAAACCCTCTCTGGAATATTAAACTTCCAGCCGCAAACGTTGCTTAGTCTACCGTTACATCTGACCATGGACATAGGATAAATGCTAATAGCTACAGGTAACGGATTCACCTTTAGCAGTCTCTTTTTCGAGCGAAATGCTTGCTGTGCAGAGTTCAGATTGAAGTTAAAATAATCTAAGCAATTAATTTGAGAAATATATGTCAATAGTTTGAGTTTGAAGGAAAATACCACGAAGAGAACGTTTCCATTATTTTCTGATTGTAGTATCTTGCTCTAATGTCCCGCCTAATATAAATACAAATATGACACCACGTGAAATTAAATCGATCGTATAAATACATGCCAGACTTGGTCAGAAAGGCAGAGGGGAGAATACACATAAATAAACTGTCTCAAAATCAGAGCAAGTTTTTTTTTCCCCCTAAAACGAAGTACAATCCCATAAAGGCTATCACTCAATGGATGAAAAAAGTTTCGACATTTTATTTAAAAGCAACTGAAACTTTATTCAGATACACAAAACATTTCAGCGAGATGTTATTGTCCCTTGCTCGAGCTCTTAGGATGTACGTTATCAAGATTCATTTCGGTGTTAAACATCTGAAATATTCACTAAAATAAAGCGTGGTATACTAGAGAAACCCCATTCAAGTTACCTGAAAATGTGCAGATAATACATAAGCGCGAGAGATAGAGAAAAATAACCACTGAACAGGACACGCCAGTTGTCTGTATCGGTCTATGTAAAGACAGATAAAATAAGCAATGACAAGGTGAGAAGCTGAGGGAGAAGATAGCTAATAAAGAGAAAACACAAATAAGAACCGGAAAAGTCAGAATATCACAGTGCGATTGCAAAAAAAAAACCCCAAAAATCGCGCTCCACATTGTCAAGAAAACACATTATGTCATTTCCATCCCAGACCAACTAAATGCACGAAATGTAATTATCTGACTGAAGGTACAAACATTAAACTTATTACTTCTATTTACCTACAACGCTCGCTCACGTTCACCCAAAAGTGTGATGAAAAAGATGCTATTATCAGAACCCGATAAGAACGGCAAAGCAAAATCAGAACATAATGATCTGACTAAATGTACAGGGAAGTGCTGTAATGTTCATTTTATTAATCAGACTGTCAATTTCACCCCAGAGGCCAAAGCCCAGAGCATCCGGGCATACGATCATCGGCGGAGGACAGGGGCTGTCCTCTGATTCTTCTCTACCTGGATGTATTCGTCTGTCGCTAGGCCGCCTTCATCATCCACTGACAGACGCTTGTATTTATTTGCTTATAAACCTGTTACAATAAATGATTATTCGAACAGCGTCATTCGTACCTTAATGACGAGCACTAGTTTGATGAATGACACATCGGGAGAAAGGAAGCACGGGTCATTTTGACCAGTCGTTCCCTCGCATTGACATAACACTTTTTCTTTGCACCAAAAAGATAAATTTCGAGACACTTGCGGGCTGGATGTGAATTGGCCACAGCTGCAAGATCATCATTAGTGTAGTGTCAGCCTGCAACCTGCTCTCAGCTTCGGGATGGAAAGAATAAGGAAAGAAATAATTCTGATGGAACGGGGACTGCATAGTCCTGCTGGCAAAAAGGTTTCGAATTTGTCAGACTCAGCTGGAAATGCAGTGGAGGAGGCCCTTGAAAATTCTCATCACAGTGGTCGGCTCAGCCCCAGACCCACTTCCGCCTCCCTTCACAACACTGTTGGGGACACCACAACAAACGGCAAATTTGAGATAGACAATTTATTCCACCATCAACATTCAAGTGATAGCACGTCCTCGTCTGAAATTTCGTCCTCGGAAACAAGGAAAAAATTCTCCCTTTACTCAGAACTTGCTAGTCGGGAGAAAGAAGCAGATATGAACAGTGATGTTGATGTGGGCTGTTCGACACTCCGCTCTCCAGCCGGCGTCAGTACAACGCAGCTGAAAGAAAATACAAACAAAGGTAAATGTTTGTTTATTAAAGTTTCTCGAAAATTAAGCTGCTTGCATCTCACAAAGGTCTAATGCATGTGTAGATTTTTTTAAAAAGTCATTTTGAAGAGGGTTCTGTCGTGATCCATCAAAGATTCGGAATGCATTTCTGCGGATGCTTTGATAATACAGAAAACAAAGCTAATGCACTGAATGTACTTAAACCGAAAATGAAAACAAAAGTGAAAATTTCAGAATAACCCTTTTTATTACTGAAAAGTACTTCATTTTCCAATAAAGTGCCACAAACCAGCAAAATATACATTTGCCTTTGAAAGTTGTATTCTGAGATACATTTGTATTGAAACAATAACAGTAACATTAATATCAAAGGGGCTAGAAAAGTATTTTACTTAAATGAATAACTGCGAAAAAGTCGTATCTCCAAAATTTACAAAACCTTTATCATCCACGTTTCCTTTGTTAGGGTACGCATCTACATAACAATATACTGAGAATATTCGTTTCTATCATGTAGCGAAATTGTGCGTTGCGAAAATCAAAGGTCAAGTAAAAATAGACAATAAATACAACTGCGTTAGACTTTGTCTTGTACCGAATGCTACAGAATTTCAGAGAACATTCAAACGGAGCTTTCAGCTTGTGCTTAAAAAGGTACTAAACAAAACTTTCCAGTTCAGTGGTGCGCTGGGCTTAAGGTTCAAAATACTGATAAGTAAAGTATTCAATAACGGCTTTTCGGCTCTATGGATAAGGCAAAATGAGTAAGAAGTGCTTAGAGGTTATTCATTCCGTGTTAGTTCAGATGCCTAATGGATGAATAGCTCAGAATCTTTATCTATATTTAATTACCGAAACTTACCACAAATTAACTACATATATTTGGTTATGCAGAGATTCATAGAACTTTATTGACTCTAACAACTGTTCCCATTTGTAATAATGACAGCCAGCATTAATTATGTGGCATCAAAGTTGCCTTATTAATTTGCACTCATGGTTTACCGATCTTAAACGTTTTTGTTTCTTCCCAGTGTATTCTGAGAATGGTAGTTCAACTAACCCTTCATCGAATGGGTCCAATATTACGAATCTGAACGGCAGCTCCAGTTCAATAGGCAACTCGGGTTCTGGTCCTGACCAGGTGAGACGGTATCGAACAGCGTTCACCCGAGAACAAATCGGTAGATTAGAGAAGGAGTTTTACAGAGAAAACTATGTATCCAGACCCAGGCGATGTGAACTGGCGGCAGCCTTAAATCTACCCGAAACTACTATCAAGGTGCATTGATGAACTCGTGTCTTATAGTCAATTTTGTATATACCTATTGCTTATTTAGATTTAATGTATGTGTATTACAGTGTTAAAATGATAACGTTCGGGTTCACTATTATTCTGATTAGTTGGTGTAAATGTCACATATTGATGCAGACTTGAGAATCTTTCAGCATTTCATAGATAATGGACTATTGTTTTAATTACGCTAACAATGTTATTTGCAAAGCATTTATTTTTAATTGCTGGGGGAAAATCGAAAGAATGGGGTGCGGCGTATGTATTGACGCTGTGCATTTTCTTTCTTAATCCAGGTTTGGTT